ACCCAGGGTCAGTTTGTTTTCTACATACATGTGTCTTTCTCAACCCAGTCTCCCTGGACCTGTAGTGTCCTCTTCTGGCCTCACAGAAAATTCTTTCCTGGAGCCCTTCGCTCACCCTGCTTTACCCTTCCATCCAAATATGCTCACTAATACAGTTCTCTTTTCTTCCCCAATACAAATAGCTGGAGCCTGCTTGCTAGGAGGGAAAATTTTACTACCATTATCCTAAAGACAAAAATTGTAAGGAATGAAAGATTCTCTATCTTTCTATCTTCTTAATCTGGTAGCAGCAGTGACTTGGGGTTCGTGCTCTCCCTCCTGCCTAGAACAGTATTTCTTTCTATTTTCACCCTCACTCCACCTCTTTAGCAGAATCTGGTTAATATAACCTTCTCAGGAATAGTTCTTTGACCACTCCGTCAAAAATGGCCATTTCCCTCCCTCCGGAAATTTACTTTCTCATTCATCTCCTTTATTTAATTTTAAATCAATTACCTCTACCTTGATTATATAATGTTGTTATTGACTGCCTCTGCCAACAGATAGTAAGCAGGTTTTTGCTCTCAAACTATGCATGGCACACAACCAGCAGAAAATGAACACCAGTATTCCAACCTTAAACTTAGAAATATTTTTTTTTCTACAAAAATATTGAATAGGGCCTTCCCAGCGGCTCAGTGGGTTGAGCGCAGCACTGTGAAGCTGACCACAGCCTCTGCAGTGCGGGTTGGATTAACAGCTGAACAGGGAGATTCTCACATGGCGTGGCAGACCTCTCCTGTCGCACCCCTGCTCCCCTCAGCAGTGTATGTCGGTCATCTGCCGGTTCTGCTCCCCCTCTGTCTCTGGTGAATCTTCTCATCCTCCCCCCAGCTCTTGTATAAAAATAAATAAATCTTAAATTTAAAAAAAATTGAATAGATGGTACTTACTTTAGTTCAGAAATATTGAATGCCTAGTGTCTTCTTTGACAAAGCTCTAGGAAGAAAGAATAATAGGATATTCTCCCTGCACTAGAAGAGTGTGCATCCAAATTGAGAAGTCTTGTATAAACTAATTATTTGCACATGATGTCATAGGTACAGTAACAGAAGACTATACACATTGGTATGTAAATGTGAAGGCTGATTTCACTTATTTATAAGGTTTATAAGAGGAGTGATGAACAGCTGACTATTTTTAAGCTGCTAAATATGTTTTCATAAGGCAATAAACATTCCCATGTTCCATAAATATTATAAATAGAATATTTTATTCAAATGAGTTCATATCATGTTTTCAACAACGAGCTATATTTTCAACAACAAGCTCTATTTGTCTCATTATTCTTTTAAGTTAAATGTTCATTATATTAAAGATATTACAAAATATGCATTTGACTCATCTTACTGGATTTCCTTAATATCCTCGGGTACTTCCCACACAGAAGTCAGAAAGCCATTTGACATTTTCATTATTAGTTTAATCTCTGTAATTTCAGATACAAAATTTTCACTCATTATATGAGTCCTGCTTTTAAGATTGGCAAGATTTATCTCCCACCCTGATTCCCAAGCTGTAAAGCCTGAGTGCATTATAATCATGAAAATTATCTTAGACATATTTGTACCTCTATTATTAAACACCATGTCTGTTTTTTTTTAAGATTTATTTATTTATGCATACAAGAACTGAGGTACAGGCCAGAGGTGGTGTGTGAGGGGGTGAGAGGATTCACCAGAGACAGAGCCCAGAATGGGCAGATCGACTGAAGTACACTGCTGAGGGGAGCAGTGAGTGAGTCAGGAGAGGTCTGCTGCACCATGTGGATATCTCCCTGGCAGGCCAGGGATTGAACTTGTGCTGCAGAGGCTGCAGACAACTTCACAGGCTGAGTCTTTTTTTTTTTTTTTTATAGAGGCATGTTTATTTTATTTATTTATCTGTTTGTTTTGTTTTTGGTTATACATGCACTGGGTACAGTCAGAAGCGCGGGAGGGCGAGAGAATTCACCAGAGCCAGAGCGGGGAGCAGAGCAGGCAGAAGGACCGAAGTACACTGCTGAGGGGAGCAGCGGGAGGCAGGAGAGGTCTGCGCACCATGCGGGACCCTCCTCTGGTGGCGGGGAGCAGCCGGGGATCGAACCGGCGCCGCAGAGGCCACGGGCAGGTTCGCAACCCAGCGCTCAACCGCTGCGCCACCGGGGAGGCCCCACAGGCTGAGTCTTAACCCCTTGCACCACCAGAGAGGCCCCCCCCCATGTCTGGTTTTGAATAGATATTTTAATAATGGTTATAAAATTTTGAAAAGTTGCATTCAAAATTAAATCTTTTGTTTTTACTGATATTCTGTAAATTCTCCTTAGATAATTGGATATAGCCTTATAATCTTGACATTCTCTTTAAGATGTTCCATTGATCTTTCAACAAAATATTGTTGACTGTCTGTTTTTCTAGTTTAAAATTACCTGGTGATGCTTGGAACCAGAAAAACTGAGGAAAAATAAAACCAGAAAAAACTTGAAGCTGCGTAAGGACACAAGTGTTACAAGACACTGTAATGAGTTTCTAGGTACTGTTAAGGCACAGAGAGGAAGGGATCAAGACTCAGGGAAGGAGGAGAAAGAATATTGTTATGAAAGAAATAATTCCTGAGCTGAGTCCTGGAAGTGAATGGTTGTTTTTCTGACAATTTGAGACAAGGAGGTTATTCTAGGCTTTGGCATGAAGACATGAAATAGTTATGATGGGACCTCCTTGGTGGTGTAAGGGGTTATCTCAGTGCTATCATGCTTTCTCTGCTGTGGCCTGAGTTCAATCCCCCAGCCAGGGAGCTGACACACATGGCACAGCAGATCTATCCTGTCTCACTCACTGCTCCCCTTAGCAGTGCATTTCAATAGATCTGCCTGTTCTGCTACTCACTCTTTCTCTCGTGAATCCTCTCACCCCCAACACCTCTGGCCTACACCTCAGTTCTTCTATGCATTAATAAATAAATCTTAAAAAAATGAAATAGTTATGATGTTCAAGAAAGTCCAACTGTTCAGTGGACCATAATTAGTACATATGAGAAGTCATAGATTCAGCTGGATAGGAACATAAATGCCATTGCCTGGAGAAGATTATTGGCTAGCCCTTGTAAACAGTCTCTGATGGATGTCAGATGAGGGAAGGGTCTGAAAATTATAGAAATTCACAAAGATCAGCCTGGTTGCTGTTGGCAGACACACTGAAGGAGGGAGCTAACTTGCCCTCAAGGAGCAAAGATTATTTCAGATATGCAGAAAAGTGAACTAGTGTCAATTGAGATTCCACTATGGAAAATAAAATATTAAATTATGGGAAAAATATTAAGGGAGTTAATTTGAAAAAGTTACTAATTGGATAAAAATGGTGAAGAAATAGATGACCTCAGAATCAATGGCAGGTTTTACTGATGGGAAGTGAGTGTTTGTTGCTGCCATTCACCAAAATGAGAATATTGGATGAGCAATAAGTTCTAGAAGAGTAACAAATAATCAGGGAAGAGGAAAGGTAGGGCAGATTATGAAGAAACAGAGACAGGAAAAGAATCAGAAAAGAACCATGCTATAGAAATTTTGGTTTGGGAGATTTCAAACCTTAAAGGACTATCAACAGTAAAAACTGCTACAGATTAATCTAAGATTGTAAGGACTGAAAAGACTGGGAATATTAGATACAAGCATCTGAATTCAACAATGCCTTTGGAAAATCATTGCATAATGTGTAAGTTTACTTAGTTACAACCCACATTTATTGGAGTCAGTTTTTTTTAAGTTTTAGGTTCTGGGACAGGAACTGCAGAAACTGGGATGAATAGAACCATGGCTGATGCAGGACCCATGGTCCACAAAGTCAGATAAGACCTGCAGGAAAGTGTGGTCATCTTACCAAGCAGTCTCACCTTGATTGAAAACAAAAGTGAAGATTTTAAAGATTTTGTCTTTAGGGCCTCCCTGGTGGCTCAAGGGGTTAAGTCTCAGTACTATCAAGCTACCACCAGCCACTGCAACATGAGTTTGATCCTGCCAGGGAGGTAACCCACATGGCGAAGCAGATCTCTGTCTCGCCCACTGCCCCCCTCAGCAGTGTATTTCAGTAGATACACCTGTTTTGCTCCCCACTCTTGCTAGTGAATCCTCTCATCCCCATACGTCTGGCCTACACCCCAGTTCTTGTATGCATAAATAAAAATAAATCTTTAAAAAAAAAGATTTTTATCTTTAAGCATGCTGTGTTCACTTTCTCTTTTCGATTCTCTGCAGTAAAATATAAATTTATAAACATTAGCATTTTAGTGCCTGTAAGAATTTTGTGACAACTACAGTTGAATTTAACTGTATTACACCAGTGTAGGTATCCTAAGAATGTGTCTGTTTCTGTTGCCTGAAGTATAAGGCCTTCCAGTATTGTGTAAATTTTGAAGGAATATACTGGTCTGATTTAGTCCTAATCCTAAGAGCATAATATACTGGAGAGTGAATCAATTGAATGTGGTGCTTGGGGAAAAATATGTTTGGAGGTGGGTGAAGAGATACTTCATAACCTTAGATGATAACATCAACGTGAAGATGTGGAGTCAGGATGCCTAAGTCGTTTGACATGAAGCTATTTATTTGGGGAAAAAATACCTATTTCAAACACTTGAAATGTTATTCTTTCTTGCAAATAGTCTATTTTTATGAGATAGCTTGTGGAAGTAGCTCTTTATCATTTTGGTCACCTAATATCTAGCTTTAATCCCAACATTGTGAGTTCAATACTTTTGCTGTTAATTCCTCTGAATCTAACAGACTCTGGACAGAAACTGCCTGGCACACTGTCTTGTGGGAATTCATCAGATTTTAAGTAAACACTGAGTGTTAGAGCATATCAAATCTCCTGTCATTTTGAGATTTTTAACAACTTATAGTTTTGAAAGTTCAAAGAAACATAAGATTTAAATATTAATATAAATGACTGTTTTTGAAAAGGGCATGAATTAAAACTTTTCCCAACATTTTTACCCAGTAAGGGAGACATCATAATCATAAAGGTGGTTTTCCCAGGTTGGGGCTCAAACATGATACTCAGGATGTGCTGACCTCTGCAACATCTCTGAATGTGAGGAACTTGACTGCCTAATGTGTGGTAGCAGGGACTGCATTAGCACTTTCCCCTGGGTGAAAATTTCAGCACAAATACACAATTAGCAAAATGCTTGTTCAAATACAAATAAGAATTTTATTGACATTCTTAATTAAAATCATGTACTTTAATTTAAGCCTATGCCAATAAAAAATAAAATGGATTTCCTGTCAAAGTGGCCATTTTACAAATTAAGTCATGAAAATTATGGTTCTTGTTATGAATTCCTACTGAATCCTGAGTTGCCCACACACATGCATATATACATGTGCATAGTGCTGTGTGCTACACAAGTTCAAAAAGTATAACTATGCAATCATGAGGAAGAAACTCTTCAACTTTTCACTGATTTTGAGGGCATACATCTGCGATACGAATGAAGAGAAGCTCCAATTCCTCCAATAAGGAACTGGAGATGGAGAAGGAGAGGATATAGAGGTCTGAGATAAGACAAACACCTTGCATTAAAGAGTATGATTATTTGGCACATCCTGAAAAAAATATGTGACAGAATTGACTCAGGTTAAAAATTAGACATTTGATTCATTCATTCATGTAGTAATTGTAGTAAGTACTAACTGAACCAAGAATGGTTTAATAGAAAAAGCAGGGCTTGGAGACATGATGAGATCTTTTGCAAATCCTGGATCAACACTCAAAGTTCTTCAAGAACTCAATTTCCTCATGTTCCAAGTAAAAGGAGGAAAATGACTAATGATTCATACCTCAAAAATTAAAATAATTAAGTGCTATAAGACGCCATGAGCATACTGATTGCTAGGAGATAGTACTCAAGAAATATATCCTTTTATTCCCCTATAGGATATGATTCTTTTATTTTTTAAAATAAATTTTATTTTTATATTCCCCATACAATTGCAACCCCCTTATTTTGACCCCAATCCCTCCCCTCCCCCCCCCCCCCCCCCCTCATAGAGTGTCTATGGTTCATAGTTTTTTGTTGATTTTGATTTTCACTTTCTTATAGTTATTCATTTTCCTGGTCCCTTATTTAAGTTTTCTAGATTCCTGCTATGAGTGAGACCATCCGGTATTTTTCTTTTTCTTTCTGGCTTATTTCACTGAGCATGATCTCTTCCGGCACCATCCATGTTGCTGCAAATTGCATGTGTTTATCTTTTTTGAATGCTGAGTAATATTCCATGGTGTATATGTATCACAACTTCTTGATCCAGTCATCTATTTTTGGGCATTTGGGTTGTTTCCAAAGCTTAGCTATTGTAAATAGTGCTGTTATAAACATAGGGGTGCAGGTGCTCTTTGGAATTGATGTTTCTGTGTCCTTTGGGTAAATACCTAGGAGTGGAATTGCTGGATCATATGGAAGCTCTATGTTTAGTAGTTCAAGAAATCTCCACAAGGCTCTCCGTAGTGGTTGGACCAGTTTGCACTCCCACCAACACTGCAGGGGAGTTCCTTTTTCTCCACAACCTCGCCAACGTTTGTTGTTGCTAGTTTTTTTTTTTTTTTAATATGTGCCATTCTCACTGGTGTAAGATGGTATCTCATGGTAGTTTTGCTTTGCATTTCCCTGATTACAAGTGATGTTGAACATTTTTTCATATGCCTGTGGCCATTTGCATTTCCTCTTCAGAGAAGTTTCTTTTTAGCTCTTCTGCCCATTTTTTGACTGGATTATTTTCTTTGTTGTTGTTGAGTCTCATCAGCTCTTTGCAGATTTTTGTGATCAGTCCTTTATCATTAGTGTTGTATGCAAAAATGTTCTCCCAGTCGGTGGGGTTTCTCTTTGTTTTTGTTATTGTCGTTTTTGCTGTGCAGAAGCTCTTCAATTTGATGTAGTCCCAGCTGTTTATCTTTGCCTTCACTATCACTGCTTTGGGTGATGTGTCTGTAAAGATGTCTTTGATGTGTATATCACGTAGTGTTTCACCTGTTTCCTTCTATGTATTTTATGGTTTCAGGTCTTATGTCTAGTTCTTTAATCCATTTTGAGTTGATTTTTGTGTATGGTGTGAGGTAGTGGTCAAGCTTCATTCTTTTGCATGTAGCGACCCAGTTTTCCCAGCACCATTTACTGAACAAACTTTCTTTGCTCCAATGCATAGTATTTGCTCCTTTGTCAAAGATTAGTTGACCATAAATCTGTGGGTTTATTTCTGGATTTTCTATTTGATTCCATTGGTCTGTGTGTCTGTTCTTGTTCCAATACCATGCCATCTTGATGATTATGGCTTTGTAGTATAGTTTGAAGTCTGGGAGTGTGATGCCTCCATTCCCTTCTTTTTATTTTTTCAGGAGAGCTTTGGCTATTTGGGGTTTTTGGTGATTCCATATGAATTTCATCAATAATTGCTTTATTTCTTTGAAGAATGACATTGAAATTTTTATTGGAATAGCATTGAATCTGTATATAGCTTTTGGTAGGATGGCCATTTTAATAATGTTTATTCTTCTAATCTATGAGCAGGGGATGTCTTTCCATTTCTTTGTGTCTTCTTCTATTTCTTTTAACAGTGTTTTATAGTTTTCTTTGTATAGGCCCTTGACCTATTTTGTTAGATTTATTCCCAAGTATTTGATTTTTTTTTTTGTTTTGATAATAAAAGGGATGGTTTTTTTGATTTCTTCTTCTTCAGATTTATTGTTTGTGTATAGGAAGGCTACTGACTTTTTCATGTTGATTTTGTATCCTGCCACTTTACTGAACTGATTGATGAGTTGAATTAGTTTTTCTGTGGAGTTTTTGGGGTTCTCTATGTATATTATCATATCATCTGCAAATAGTGATAGTTTGACTTCTTCTTTTCCTATTTGGATTCCTTGTATGTCTTTCTCTTGTTTTATTGCTCTGGCTAGGACTTCTAGTATTATATTGAAAAGCAGTGGTGAGAGTGGACATCCTTGTCATGTTCCAGATCCTAATGGAGATGATTTCACCTTTTCACCATTGAGAATGATACTGGCTGTTGGCTTGTCATAGATGGCCTTTATGATGTTGAGTTATGTTTCTTCTAGCCCAAGAATTTCAAGGCTTTTATCATGAATGGGTGTTGCACTTTGTCGAAAGCTTTCTCAGCATCTATTGATATTATCATATGGTGTTTATATTTCTTTTTGTTGATGTGTTGGATAACATTGATGATTTTTGGATGTTGAACCATCTTTGTGTCCCTGGAATGAATCCTACTTGGTTGTGGTGAATTATCTTATGGATACATTGTTGGATTCTGGTAGCTAAAATTTTATTGAGGATTTTTGAATCAGTGTTCATTAGGGAGATTGGCCTGTAGTTTTCCTTTTTTATGTTGTCCTTATTCGGTTTTGGTATTAGTGTAATGTTGGCTTCATAGAACATGTTTGGTATTGTCCCTTCCTTCTCAATTTTTTGGAAGAGTTTGTGAAGGATTGGCACTAATTCGTCTCTGAATCTTTGGTAGAATTCATTTGTAAATACATCAGGTCCTGGGCTTTTGTTTTTGGGGAGGTTTTTGATTACCATTTCAATTTCGCTGCTTGTAATTGGTCTGTTTAGGTATTCTATTTCTTCTTTATCTAGCTTTGGGTGATTGTAGAGTTGTAGGAATTTGTCCATCTCCTCTAAATTGTTGAACTTGTTTCCATATAACTGTTCATAGTAGTTTCTGATTATTCTTTTGATTTCTGCTGTGTCCATTGTGATTTCTCCTCTTTCATTGATGATCCTGTTTATTTGTGCTTTCTCCCTTTTTCCTTTGTGAGCCTGGCTAGGGGTTTGTCTATTTTATTTATTTTTACAAAGAACCAGCTCTTGCTTTCATTGATCTTTTGGATTGTTTTTTTAGTTTCAATTTCATTTATTTCTGCTTTGGTTTTATTTCTTTTTTTCTACTGGCTTTGGGGTATTTTGTGGTTCTTTTTCTAGATCTTTGTGCTTTGAGATTAGGTTGTTTCTTTGAGTTCTTTCTTGTTTCTTGATGTGAGCATCTATTGCTATATATTTTCCTCTTATTACTGCTTTTGCTGCATCCCATACATTTAGGAAATTGGTTTCCTCATTGTCATTCAATTCAAAGAATTTTTTAATTTCTTCTTTGATCTCCTCATTAGTCCAGTGGTCTTTCAGTAGTGTGGTTTTCAATCTCCATGAGGTAGGAGAGTTCCTTGCCTTCTTTTTATAGTTTATTTCTAGTTTGATGCCTTCATGGTCAGAAAAGATGGTTGGTATGATTTTGATTTTGGTGTATCTGTTGATGTTTGTCTTGTGTCCCAATATGTGATCTATCCTGGAGAATGATCCGTGTGCACTTTGGAAAAATGTGTACTCTGTTTTTTTTGGGTTTAGTGTTCTATAGATGTCTGTTAAGCCCAAGAGCTCTAGATCCTTATTTAGAGCTTTAGTGTCTACTTATTTTTTGTCTCGTTGATCTATCCATTGTTAATAGTGGTGTGTTGAAATCTCCCACTACGTATGTGTTTTCTCTGATGTCTGTTCTCAGAGATGACAATAGTTGTCTGATATATTTTGGTGCTCCTTCGTTTGGTGAATAAATGTTAATGAGTATTATTTCTTCTTGAAGTATTGTCCCCTTGATCATAATGTAGTGACCGTTGGGGTCTCTTTTTATCTTTTTTGAGCTTGAAATCTGTTTTATCTGATATAAGTATAGCTGTTCCTGCATTCTTTTTTGGTCCATTTGCTTGTAGGATTGTTTTCCATCCTTTAACTATGAGTCTATTTTTATCTTTTGTAGCTAAATGTGTTTCCTGGAGACAGCAAAAGGTTGGGTTTTGTTTCTTAATCCAGCCTGCAACTCTGTGTCTTTTTATTGAAGAGTTTAGTCCATTTACATTTAGAGTTAATATTGATATGTTACCATCTGTATTTGCCATTTTGTTGTCTTTCCTTTGATTTATTTATTTATTTATTTATTTATTTATTTATTTATTTATTCTTTTAACAACTTTTTTTTTTGGCCTTCTTTCATTGTTATTCATCCCTCTGACGTTCTGGCTTTAGGACTCCTTGTAGTAATTTTTGGAGTGGGGGTTTAGTCGTAATGAAATTCCAGAGT